TTTTTTTGCACTTATTGTTATTGCTATTATATAGGGGGATAACAATCCCCCTATATAATAGCAAAGGCACACTGACAGGTCCTCTTTATGGAGACATTAGGGGTCTCTAGGACCCCTAATGTCACCTGTGGACCCCAAAAGAAGCTGATGAAGCAGAGATCTGCTTCATCAGCTTCTTTTCTCTGGCTATAGCAGCCAGATGACTGACAGGTGAATGCGGAAGTGATGTAATACACATCACTCCTGCATTCACAGCCCGGAGGGAGACAGCAAGGAGCTGATCTCCCGTCCTCTTCCTCCTGACGCCCTCCGAGCCGGTCCCGGGCCGCAGAAAAAACGAGCACATATAGACGATCGGCGGGCTATGGAGCCGCTGATCGTCTATATGTGAAACACCCGGTAACGGGTGTTTGCATTGGTCGGGTCTTTTCTGCCCGTGCGTGCCCGACAGGGGGCGCGCGCGAGCAGAAAAAAAAATGCCGTCTGGCGACGGCAACCCGCCAATGCAGCAGTGCCGTCCGTCCGTTTTTTTACAACGGGCGGACGGCAAGTGGTTAAACATGACGAAAGTGTTTGTCTTTCACACACTTTAAAATCTGAATTTTTTTTGATACAGAATTACTTTGAACCTCCCATACAAATATATATTTTCTGAAAGCAGAATCCCCGTAGAATAGAAAAAAAAAATTGTAGGCGCCATTTTTTTTGTTGCACAATATTTGCACAAATGTTTATCAAATCAATATTTTTTGGTGACAATATACTGAAATTTTAGTGCACACAAACACAATAGAACACCCAATATTTTTTTTCCCGTAAAATATAAAGATGGGGTCATGTTGAGTAAATGCCAAATAGGTCAAGCCTTAAAATTGTGCACAACCCATGAAATGGTGGAAAATTATGGTATTCAAAATAATTCCTAAGTGACACTTTCAAAGCCTTTACTGCTCACAAATTTAGAGTGAACTAGAGTAAGGCCAAATTATGGCCTTATGCTGGGCACACACCTTACAACCATCGCAAGACTTTTGTCTTGCGATGGTTGTAAGGTACTTAAAAAAACCGTACGATCTGCCCATCTTGCATAGGCAGATCGTACTTGCGATGATCGCAAGCCACGCCCCCTGAGGGGCGGGCTTCCGATGACCGCAATGCCGAACGGACATCTTACAAACTTGCTACACACCCGCCGAACATCGTACGATGCTCGGCGGGTTTTCAAACATGTTCGTACGTTAAAAGTCGTGCAACCTTACAGTAGTAGAGGTCGCACGGCTTCCACACACCTTGCGATAATCGTACGATCGCGGGATTTCCCGCGATTATCGTACGATTATCGTAAGGTGTGTGGGGGCACCCTTAGAATGATTACTTTCACTGCAGTGTTTGTGGCAATAGCTAACAGGTGTGGTGCAATCGCTGTTTACATACACGTACAAGCCCTGCGCGTGTTTGCATACACATATAGAGGGCATGGGGAAGCGAGCTTCATTTTTATGTATTTCATCTTCTGTTTTCACTTTTGACAAATGTGATATTTTTTTTTCTTTTCATAGTATCTTTGCAAATCAAAAATGAAACTGAGCCTGAAACGGCTAACTCTGACAATTCTCAAATTTGCACAAGTGACCGATTGCAGGCACCAATCACAGAGCAGAGAACGATTGATGAACTGATTAGGAAACATATGAAAGAGAAGCTGGATGGAGGCAAATTCCCCTCTGCAGGCTCATCAGCCAGCAGACAAGAAGGTGTATCAAAGCAGCTCAGACAGGACTGTGCCATCGCTGAACCTGTATGTACATTGCCTCTAGAAGAAGGCCGTTCTTTAAACTGTACTGGTTCTGACGCAGAGTCCAACCAGAGGCCTTTTTGTGGGCACAGTGAGCCCTCTTTTTTACACGGCTTAAAGACTTATGACTGCCAGGATCTTCTTAGGGCTAAATCATCCAGGAGAAGGTTTGAACTCCAAGAAGCTCCGGTGCGAGATAATGGAAGCAATGACTGGAGCTCGGTCAGTGGCAAAGGTCTCTTTCCATCACAAAGCTCTTTAACCAGCATGAAAGTGCAGTCTTACAATCAGGACGCTGCAGGGAAATTTTCTGCAGCAGGTTTGTTTTCTCATGTGGAGGAAAGTCGTGATGCCTTTGGCAGCAGATATGAAGGTCAGAATCACTCTGCTCACATTGCAAAGAGAAGAGATCAGACTCCAAGTACATGGCATTCTAGTAAAATTGCGGGCCATCCGCCTACAGCTGTTGAGTCAAAGCCATGCTCTGATGTAGGTCGGGACAGCAAACTACCTCTGCAAAAGTTATTGCTGGATTTTGCCTCTCCACAGCAAGACAGTGGCTTTGACAGTCCCTTCCCTGACTTAAATCATTTTAACTGATAGCAGTGCCTTCTACAGTTTTAATCTTATAGATTACCCAGCTGAATCATTTTATTTTTCAAAAAAACATGACCTATAATTTATTTTTTGACTTGCATGTATATAAATTGATCATTTTATATTTGTTTTATATGTATATGTATATGTGTGTTTGTGCAGAGATGTATTTTCCTAATTTTATTTATCTATTTGTGTATACAATTATACTTTTTTTAAAATAAAGATCTTTTGGTTTAAGCTGCTGTGAATAGTTTGTAATGCAAGTTAGGGATAAACAAAAAATGAAAAGGTCATCGGGATTAAATATTGATTCTTATATATTTCAGTTTTAGAAGGTGCTGATGAGTTGAATTAGCTAGCAGTCTCTATTTTGGGAGATCTCTGCTCCTTCAGCTTCATTCACACTTGCTGATTGTGTGTTTTTTGCAGGGATCTGTCTGTGTAATATCCCCTTTGCACACCGTACCATTCTACCCCTGATCTGTCTACAAAGTCTGTCAGGCTAGATGCTTTGTCTTTGCTTCTTGATGCCTAAAATTACGCTCGTTTACACACATGCGTGTAGATGCATCTGTCCTTTGTCCACTAAAACGGTCCATTGAAGTAGCCAATGAGATTTCAACAAACACGTACTGTGTTTACATACGTTTTTAGAAGTTAAAATTGATTCCTGGACGCACCAGTTACAAAAAAAATTACATTGCTGCTAATAGTATTCCGCAGTATACATGCAGGTTCCCAGATCAGTGCAGAAAATCAGATGTTTAACATCACTTTAAAGAGAACCTGTTAGAATAAACATGAGCTGTCATTGCCAAGTTGTTTTTGAATATGCAGCCATCTTTATCCTGGCCTAAATACTTTGACAGTAGTGGAGCTTGCACCTGCAAAGCAAGTCGGCAGTTCTTATAAATATATGCTAACAAATCCTAAAGTTATTAATAAAGAGAAAGACAGATGGACAGCTGTCTTCACCCCACCGCTCAATTCTTGGCAAAGGGACAGGCAATAGGAGCAGGAGGGACAGGGAAAGTATCACTGCGCAGAACTGTTACTGATCTATTCACTAGAGGATTATGGCACTCCTATAGTAGCAGATAGAGCACCTTTACTCCGCAACAGTGCTGTGTGATGATACTCGGCAACATGCAGTGTGACAACAGGTTCTCGTTCACTGCGCCGGCATGGTCTTCCAACTTCATCCTGTTCAGGAATGGCCACACTTTTAAGTCTGTCAGGCAAGACAAGCTCCCAACAATGACGGAGGTAATACGTTTAGCACCCGTGCATTGTGGAAAAGTGTGTGTTAAACCTTGACTTTGCCACTAATATTGCATTTATAGCGAATCAAACCAAAAACTTTGTTTTGGATTGTTAGGATGATTAGAACCTCTGTCTGGTTTTTATTGCTGACTATGTCGCCTTTGGAAAGAATTCCCATCAATTCTGTTTTGATGACAGGGTGTCACAGGGACAGGAAGCAGGAGAGGAACATCTCTTAAATGGGAACATGCAGTAACAAAACCTTTTTAAAAAAAAAAATTTTTAAGAGGGGCGAGGGGTAGAACCTTTTTGTCAGGACTGTCATTGTCCAGTTTGGCTAAAGATGATTTTAGGCACTAGCCTTCAAAAAGAGGGGCCTTTTATGATGGAAATATGTGGGCTGCCATGGCAGAATTGGTTTAGAAGGTGCAGGCCTGTCATCCATTTCTATTGCCTTTTACTAGTACGTCACCTTAGCTCTGTGTGTGTTGGGGGAAAGGGGCGCGTCCTATCACCAAAGTCAAATAAATGAAGGGCTTTCCTGGGGTAAGGAAAAGGGCTTTAAAGCTATCTGACTTTGTCAGTTGATATCTCGAACAATCAGAACAGTAAATTTGCATGCATCAATCCAATTGGTTTCAACATTAATTTTTTTTTAAAGCTGATCATTTCAAAACTGATTGCTTTCTCCATACACCATGGCCATGTGAATTCCTGTCCCAGTTACAGGGCAGAGGAAGTAAAGAATATCTCCTCAATAAGGACCAGTCATGAAGATTCTAACCATTACCATAATTAGAAACCAAATACAAAAAAATAAATGTTTTATCTAGAGGTGGGCATTAAAGATTTAGCTTGTGGGACCACTAGCAGCAAAAGATGTATGCCATGATCAAAGTGAGAGCCATTTAGCACAATGAGTTGTTTTTTTAAGTGCAATAGAAAATATTTTTTGGCTGGAGAGCATATTTGTGTGTGTGTGTGTGTGTGTGTGTGTGTGTGTGTGTTTTGTGTCAAAAGTATTGGGACACCCCTCCAAATCATTGGATTCAGGTGTATAACATCAAGCACCTAGGCATGCAGAAGCTTCTACAAACATTTGTGATGGAATGGGTCACTCTCAGGAGCTCAGTGAATTCAAGCGTGGTACCGTGATATGTTGCCACCTGTGCAATAAGTCCATCCGTGAAATTTCCGTGCTACTAAATATCCCACGGTCACCTGTTAGTGGTATTATAACAAAGTGGAAGCAACTGAGAACAACAGCAACTCAGTCACGAAGTGGTAGGCCACGTAAAATGACAGAGCGGAGTCAGCGCATGCTGAAGTGCCACCACTGGACTCTAGACAAGTGGAGACATGTTCTCCGGAGTGACTAATCACACTTCTCTGTCTGGCAATCCGATGGACGTGTCTGGGTTTGGCGGTTGCCCGGATAATGGTACTTGCCTGACTGCATTGTGCCAAGTGTAAAGTTTGGTGGAGGAGGGATTATAGTGTGGGGTTGTTTTTCAGGGGTTGGGCTTGGCCCCTTAGTTCCAGTGAAGGGAACTATTTAAGCATCAGCATACCAAGACATTTTGGACAATTTCATGCTCCCAACTTGGAGATGACCCCTTCCTGTTCCAACATGACTGCACACCAGTGCACAAAGCAAGGTCCATAAAGACATGGATGAGCGAGTTTGGGGTGATAGAACACCTTTGGGATGAATAAGAGCGGAGACTGCGAGCCCGGCCTTCTCGTCCAACATCAGTACCTGACCTCACAAATGCGCTTCTGGAAGAATGGTCAAACATTCCCATAGACACACTCCTAAACCTTGTGGACAGCCTTCCCAGAAAAGTTGAAGTTGTTATAGCTGCAAAGGGTGGGCCAACTCAATATTGAACCGTACGGACTAAGACTGGGATGCCATTAAAGAAAGTTCATGTGCATGTAAAGGCAGTCGTCCCAATACTTTTGGTAATATAGTGTATGTATGTGTGTGTGTATATATGTGTGTGTGTGTGTGTATATATGTGTATGTGTGTGTGTATATATATATATATAAGCAGTGATGGTTATGTAAAGTCTGTGGGGCCCCACTAAGAGCAGTAAGGGTCATGGCAAGCTCACGCATCTCGGTTCCATTTAGTTTTTGCGCATCTTTTACGCAGTGTAAAAATACGGCTCCATACACGGCTATGTGTATGGAGCCATTTATTTGCATATGGGAAAAAACACTGCACGTATCTATGCCCCGCGTATTATACGGCAATGTGAATGAGGCCTATGTGTCGTATGCAGATGGCAGACTGGTGCAATTTTACTACTTGGAAAAGATTTTCAGACCTCTGCAAAGAAAACATTCTAAAAGGCATAATGTGCGTGATCTAAATTGGATAACTTTTCACATCTTTTATGTCTTTGAAGTCACTGTCATCGGGCAAACAACACTATTCCATTTTTGGCAAAAACCTTTGGCTGACAATGCAGTAACAGCATTGAAATTCTTGGTATCCTTTTACTAAAGTGTCGTATGTATATAGATGAGGGGCTGTGTTATGTCCTTTGTAATAGGGAGTAGTCGGGGTCAAACAAGGTAATGACAATACATGCAAATACACTTTCTAATAGTTTAAAATTATTGTTCACATATCTCAGTAATTCTGGTTACCATCAAGAACAGAATATCTGTATTTTAATTTGCCTGTTCCTTGCTCAACCCTCTTTTTATGTGGCAATCAGAGATAACTGGATTTAGGAACACTAGATAGGGGGTTGGGCAACAGCAATTATTATATGAGGAGTGGTATCTTTTTGGGGGGGACCTTGAATTAAAATGTTTTTGTAGCCCCCCCCCATTAAGAAATGTTCCCCTACACCCCAGCTTCTTGTGAACGTGCCTAAATAAAAATGGCATTACTGGGTTTTCTTAAAGGATCCTGGGAAAGCTGAGAAGCCCAAATTTCATGGTTGCACCTGCACAGAACATCTAATGAGACTTGGGCTACTAAGTGTCCCAAGAGTGCCCAAATAAGGCCCAGCCATGTCAACTTCACCAAAAGGAAGGCGCCAGAAACTTGGGTGTACAGTTAGTAACTTTTACTTCTTCTTTGTTAGGTTTCTTTTTATTTTCTATTAAGGCTGGTTAGTGTGAGGTTTGAGACCATGGGGTGGATTAGTATGAGAAGATCTTTAGAGTAGGAAATGTCTCTTTGTGCTGAAAACTACCAGAGCCAAGTTCCTGGCCCTGAAAGTTAATATATCCCCAAATTGTACTTCTACATCTTTTAGCTTGGCCCCGGTGGGAGCTGACATGATTCATCATAGAATAGGAGCATTTCAGATTTCACTATTTTTATGGCATGTGTGGTTTGATATATCACAGAAATCTAATTTGGACAGAATCACAGGAACACAACAGGAGATCCAATCTTCTGGGCGGAATATGTATGTCACTATGTGATGACTAAAATATCAAGAACAAGTTCCTCTTAGCCTTGTCAGAGGGCGGTCAAATGTGTGCAAGCACTTAGCCGGGGTTCACATCTTTGCGTTCGTAATATGCACGTTTTTAGCGTGATTTTCTGTCCACGAAACGCGCTTACAAAATCTATTTAGAAGTCCAATGGATATGAGCTGTAATCTGCCTCAAATAAGCTCAAGTACTATTTCGCGCGTAGGGCGTTTTTCAGCACGGCAAAACGCGCTGAAATACGCCCAGGTGGGAACCTTGTACATAGCAATTAATAGGATTTCACTTCTTGAC